TAGGGAAAAAAATTCATTTGACATGTCTTGAATATAATAACGACTAACAGTTGAGAAACTGGGATCCCGAGTGCACACACAGTACGATGCCAGCAATACCTTATATTATACGACCTCGAGTCAATCAGGATATCATTACCACAATGAAGTGCTTTATCCTCTTGGTAGTTGCAGGCATTGCACTTACAACTGCACAGCCAACTTCTTACAGGCAAGATGGTTCCTACAAGAGCGCAGCATTGAATTTTGGCCACGATTTCGTCCTACCGAGAATTCCAGGCGTTCAACTCCAAGTGTCTTCCATTCCTCTGCCCATCCCTACATTGCGTCAGGAGTTCTTCAGGGTTCCACTTCCTGCCCTTGCATATCCGAAAAATGGTGTACATGGATATTAAGGAACGAAAATATGCACAATGTAAAGTATATCGTCAGAATAAATATTTAAACTCTAATTATAATTTTTCATTTCCTTTTCCGTTAGTGTACATACATAAATATATATATACATATAAATATACATATACATTTATATATACATGTACATATAAATATACATATACATTTAGATATAAATATACATATACATTTAGATATAAATATACATTTAAATATACATATACATGTACATATAAATATACATATACATATATAAATATAAATACATACATACATATACATATATAAAGATAAATACATACATATTAAAAAAATATATATATGCATTTACATATACACATATACATATATAAATATATATATGCATTTATATATATATATATACATATATAAATATATATATATATATATATATATATATATATATATATATATGCATTTACATATATACATATATAAATATATATATGCATTTATATATACACATATATATAAATATATATAAATATGTATATATGCATTTATATATATACATATATAAATATATATATGCATTTATATATACACATATATATAAATATATATAAATATGTATATATGCATTTATATATATACATATATAAATATATATAAATATGTATATATGCATTTATATATATACATATATAAATATATATAAATATGTATATATGCATTTATGTATATACATATATAAATATATATATGCATTTACATATATATATACATATATAAATATATATATGCATATATATTTATATCTATATATGTATTAATATATATACATATATAAATATATATAAATATATATATATGCATTAATATATATACATATATAAATATATATATACATATATAAATATATATATGCATATATATATATATATATATATATATATATATATATATATATATATATATATATATGCATATATATATATATATATATATATATATATATATATATATATATATATATATATATGCATATATATATATATATATATATATATATATATATATATATATATATATATATATATATGCATATATATATATATATATATATATATATATATGCATTAATATATATAAATATATAAATATATAAATATATATATGCATATATATATATATATATATATATATGCATTAATATATATATATGCATTAATATATATACATATATAAATATACATAAATATAAATATGCATATATATATATATGCATTAATATATATACATATATAAATATATATAAATATATATATGCATTTACATATACATATGGTATCCTTAATAAAAAAAAAAACTAATAAAAACCTTATTGTCAACATTCTGGAATAAGATTTTTTACTGTGATCCTCGATTTTTATGATACCTCAATCTCTACCAACTCTGGATGACTAGACACATTTCTTTATCAGCCAAGTAAAGGATTTATGTGTATATATACATACACATATGCATAAATATATACATACACATATGCATAAATATATACATACACATATGCATAAATATATGCATACATAGATAAACATGTACATATATTTATATATATGTATTTATATCTATATGTATATATGTGCATAATTACATATGATTATATATATATATTTTTTTTTATGTATATATATGTATATATAGCTATATTTATACATACATATATGTATATATAATTTATTTATACATATATATATGTATATGTATATATAGATATATATGTATTTATATATGTGCATATTTGTATGTACGTGCATTTGTTATTATATATGCATGTGTGTATATATATATATATATATACATGTATATCCGTGTGTGTGTATTTATATGTAATATATATATATATATATATATATATATATATATATATATATATATATATATATATGTGAATATTTAAATGCATAGTTGTATATATGTATATATATATATATATACATATATATATATATATATATATATATATATATATAAATATATAAATACGCACAATAACAGAACGGGAAAAACAAAATGATCATTAGAGTTCAAAACTTTATTCTGGCGATATTTTGACAGCGTTTTATGTTTTAGGGTAATATTTCATTGTGTGTATTCTTGTTCCTTAATATCCATGTACAATATTTTCCGGATATGTAAGGGCAGGAAGTGGAACCCTGAAGAACTCCTGGCGCAACGTAGGGATGGGCAGAGGAAAGGAAGCCACTTGGAGCTGAACGCCTGGAATTCTCGGTAGGACGAAATCGTGACCAAAATTCAATGCTGCGCTTTTGTAGGAGCCATCTTGCCTGTAAGAAGCTGGCTGTGCAGTTGTAAGTGCAATGCCTGCAACTACCAAGAGGATAAAGCACTTCATTGTGGTAATGATATCCTGTCTGACTAGAGGTCGTATAATATAAGGTATTGCTGGCATCGTAATCTGTTTGCACTCGGCCTCCCAGTCTCTCAATTGATAGTTGTTAAATTCCAGATATGTCAAGTGAAGGGACTAGGATAAATATGTTTCTTCCAAATTACATAATTACGTTTACAGATATGGGGAGATTTAAGCCCCATTTTCCAATTAAAATCTGGAGATCTGAATTAAATTTACTTTCGTATACACAAGCTTTACATGTGAGTTATTGACTTTTATAATACAATGACCAAGAGTGAGTCACGTTTGAATGAAACAATGACAAATCATAGACTATCTCATTGTAACTAGACTTGTTTTTCACTGATTCACTTTAATATAACTATATTAATTATAGTTATAAAAATAAAAAACTGCTCATCAGTATTTAATTTACACTCGCTCTATAGTCTTGGACTCTCAGATATACGAGTGAGAGAATGCATTTTTTTTTCTTTTATTCAGTCATAGTAACCATATACAGTACTTCTCGGGTATGTAGAGTTGTTAAGTAGAATTCTGAAGACATCCTGACCCATCGCTGTTTATGAGAGCGAATTGCATTTTGGTCATGATATCGCCCTACCAAGAATCCCAGACGTTCAAGTGTCTTCCATTCTTCCGTTGCGCCAGTTCTTCAGGGTTCCACTTCTTGTCCTTGCATGTGGGGTAAATATTGTACATGGTTATTAAGGAACAAAAATAACCCTGCCATGATTTTTGTTTTACTCTATTGACGACGCTAGCCCATAACACTTCTCGTGTTTAACAGAAAACGGCGTCAGAATGTATGTTATTGGGAAAATGGTAAAATACGGATGAAGAAATAGATTTCTCGAACTATCAATAGCTGTTATGGAAATACTCTCTGTTTTATCCGCTATGAATGGTAAGTCGTCGGCGACATTTATTATAAAATTGCCTATCTCATTGCTGGTAGGATTTGTAGGGGGACTAACATTTAATATTTCTTGAGTGTACAAAAACATACCTTTCATGTAAAGTATTTGTTATCATACCCATACTAAAGATATAAATGTTTCATTAAATTCTGATTGTATCATTTATTTGTCGGTATACTGCATACCCTTCTTGTATTATCTATTATTACTAAAAGTTGGGTGAATTTTAAGGTTTCTATTACGTTTTCTATCACTATATTCAGTTACCTTTGATCATCTCCATCAAAACAACTTGTTAACTACTTTTACTTTATGCCATCACACCTTTTAGCATTATATATGATGTTCTGAAAACCATCACACCTTTTAACCATCACACCTTTTAGCATTATATATGATGTTCTGAAAACCATCACACCTTTTAGCATTATATATGATGTTCTGAAAACCATCACACCTTTTAGCATTATATATGATGTTCTGAAAACCATCACACCTTTTAGCATTATATATGATGTTCTGAAAACCATCACACCTTTTAGCATTATATATGATGTTCTGAAAACCATCACACCTTTTAGCATTATATATGATGTTCTGAAAACCATCACACCTTTTAGCATTATATATGATGTTCTGAAAACCATCACACCTTTTAGCATTATATATGATGTTCTGAAAACCATCACACCTTTTAGCATTATATATGATGTTCTGAAAACCATCACACCTTTTAGCATTATATATGATGTTCTGAAAACCATCACACCTTTTAGCATTATATATGATGTTCTGAAAACCATCACACCTTTTAGCATTATATATGATGTTCTGAAAACCATCACACCTTTCTTTAAATATATATGATGTCCTTGATAACATGGACCGGTTTCTGGACAGACCGCGTTGAAAGTTGCCGCGAAATCGATAACCGGCAATTAGACTGTCCTTTAAAGGGTTTTCTTTTATTTTCAGCATTAGTTATACATGTCTTTTCCTTTAAGGTTATATAGTAGTTTTATATAATAAAAAAAAATCTTGCAAATTGACAAAGGCAATAATCAATGTTGGAGAAGCGTGTGTATGTCTCAGGATGAAGACACTCCATAGAATACTCATATCTCCTAATCTTATGAACTCATATCTGATAATCTCATGACAAATAATATCATTACCCCCAGATGGTATTTTACCCATTACTTACAAAGAAATGAAAGAATTTGTCACCCTAAGTACTCCTCCTGACACACACTGCCTACCGAGTGTCATCGCCCTGACACAAACAAACAGGAGCGGCGTCTTGCTTTTTCCTCCAAGTCGTGGTTTTTGCTAATTACCCTGTTAATTGTAATTAGAACATGCATGATACTACAAGATAAGACTCAGGAGCTGACGACAGGTGTATTGAACTCATTTTTGCGGCGCATTAGTGAATTCAAGCCTAGAAAAGGTTAAAAAAAAATATTTAAATTAAGGTAGGTCCTTCAAAACCACAACCACTTATTTTCACTTATTTATTTGTAATTTATATAATTAAAAATCTAAATCTCGCTAAATTCCGTGATTACCATCATATTGAAGAGGATTATTTATTTACTTAAGGTGATTGAAAATGTAATAGGTAAATGGAGTTGCTTGAGAGACGAGGAGAAAACACAGGTAATAGAAAAAAAACAAAGAAAAAACAAAATTGATAAAGTTAATGACCATTCAGAACACACAAAATAACACTACTAAGCAATCCAAATAATTTCTGCATTTCAGGTACTGATAAAACCAATATCAACAAAGAACATAGACATATATTTATCATATTGAAATATAAGGTAAATTATAAAGGTTAGTTTTCTATTTACCTGAACGCCTAGAGACCATGGCAATATCATGACAATTATTACTGACAGTAGCATATTAATGTTTGGTTTTCTGAGTTTTAAATTTGTAGAAACTGGATAGTATATATCGGGTGCATTCCAGTGGCATCAGACATGTCAGTATGTACAACATGTGGCATTTGTATATAATCATCAATTATTTGGTATATTAGATAATTTACTAAAAGGAAATCTAAGGCCACAGTCACTTATTTAAGTCTGTGAATTAATGTTATAGCAATGACAAACAAACCTCCACCATGCCTATTTTAGTAATGTATAGTTTGCAATTCCCCCTGGCAATTTATCACTAAATAGGCTTTAGGTTGTCTTACCAAATATACATGGGTAAGGTTCTATTGGTCTTTGCATGGAGGTCATAGTTTTGCCTCAGACACTCCTGCTCTAAACAGTTCACAATGAATGTTTAAAACACAGTGATACATCTGCCAAAATCCTTACACCCACAGTGCTTTTCTGAATTTCATTTTTGGAAACATATAGGTTGTATTCTTTCCAAAATCCTTGAAATTTGCTGTGATCTGTGATGAGATGTCTAAAACCCTTATCTTATAGCAGTACATTGTCAAGCAGTTTCTGCAGTACCCTTCCTTTACACTTGGTAAAGGTTAACAAACATGTATTATGTATATTCTGTTGGGCTTGAGCTTAGACCATTTGCTTTTCAGATAGTAAATGGCCTGGTAAGTCAGTTTGCTATCTTGCCACAAGGCATTATTGAGGCTTTTGACCTTTGCCAGAACCCTATAACGTATAAGACTAGTACGAGTCATGCGGGTGTATGCTGAGCATACTCCTCATTTTATGTTAGGCATGTGTATATCACACATGGGGTGCAAAATCAATTTAGGTCTAATTTATCTGAATCACAATGAAAACCATATGAAAAATCTTTGTTAAATTGATATTTTTTATTATCTCGTAGAATTCGTTAGCATGTGGATTTTGTCTATACAATTTACCCTGCACTACATTTTTATAGTTTCATAACCTAAATTATCATTAAACCCTTTTTAACATGTAAAGAGCAATCCCTCAGTGTTACTTTGATGCCCAGCTGCAAAGACTATCAAAATTTCATTTTCAGCAAACCCAATCTTGATTTAATGTTTCCAGAGTTCAAATGTATGTTTTGTGCTGGTGTATCCCATAGTTACCATCTTTCTATACCGCAAAATAGATGTGTGTAACAGTGCATTGCAAGGGTGCTAGGGATATTGGGTAGTAACATTTCATACTTAACGTGAATTGTTATTTGTTATTCTTCCTCTATTTCTCCCTCCCCCTGCACTCTGTACTTGCTTATTTTCCAGTTCTTTTCTAAAGATATTCTCATGTTTATTTTATGGCCTTTTTCAGATGAGATTGTGAATGCTAATTCTAAACAAGAATCATGGCTGAAGTTATTGACCTTTCTGATGATGATGTAAGTATGATGAGTGTATGATAGTGTACTAATCACTTTGTAATATATACTTTCATTTTACACTTATTCTCATGCTGTGTACAAAGGTTCATGTGAAGGAATCCCTAACCCAGACTAGTTTAGGCAAATGTTTCTTCAGAAGCCATCTTTTAGTTCATGATTAACCATGAAATGGCTTAGTATTTATATTTGTATTTGTATTTACATTAATACACACATACATAAGTAATTTGCATATGTCTGTATAATTAGCATTATTCTCCTTATTTTACAGGTTTTGGTGGATGAGGTGGCTGTGAGTAAAGTCGTACCTCCTACACTAAAGAGACCCTTCAGATGCCTGAATTCTGATTGTCGTTCAGAGAAAGATTTAGTTCGGGCAGACAAATACATCCGCAGATTTTTTGGTGTCTTGTCATATCCAAAGCAAGTATTCCAGTCCTTTCACTCCAGCATTGAATGATCATATTATATATGTTTATTTATTTTTGCTCATATAGGACTCACAAAATCTACCCGAATGTGCAGGGACAATTAAGTTTGCTCATTCAGTAGCCAAAATGTGGCAACATCCTACAAGACAGGTTGTCAGAAATTATACCCTAAGTACCTTAAGGATACCAGGGATTTAGAAATTTTGTGGTATGATTACATGTGGTCAGTTGGTCAGTTTTCATAAACCTTATGAAAAAATATGTTCACTTTTTGAAACAGAAAGAAGCGAGTATGCCCCAGCTGCAGTATAGAAGCCAGAAATCAGCAAGACTCTCTGATTGATACATTAAGATCAGGACGGCTTTTGTTGGCTGAAAAACTTCCACCTCCAAGGGAGACTGTGGTGCTCACAGACTCTGACTCTGATCCATCTGACAGTAAGGATACAACTGTCCTTTTCATATTCATATTAGTGTTTGCAAATATGTGAGTGTGTGTGTGTGTCTTTACATGTGCTACCATAAGCCAAATTGTCATTAGACACCAAGGGCTATTGGGTTAATGATATAGATATTTTTTTTACTGTCATTATGATGATGATTGTGAAAATGTAATCATTATTTGCTATTGCGGTATTTGTGATGTTTATGTGTATGTCTGTTAATATTATTACTTTTTTATCATTATTGATATTGCTAGTTTGTACTGTTATCATTATCATAACATCAACTTTGGAATTATTTTATACATGAGTTTACTATTAATTTTGATATTGTGATTGTTGATAATACTAGAACTATTAGCATTACCCTCTTTAATAATACACCACAAGAATTTGCACTTGTTTTATGCTGATAAAATCACAATTATATTCCAGATGAAAAACTTAGTGATGATTCAGATTATGAGTTTGTCAGTGAAGATGGAAAGAACCTTGAAGAGACAATTGCCGATATCACCAAAGAACTTAGCCTGGACATGCAGATAACAGATGGCATGAAACACCTCGAAGAGCGATTCCTGGCATTAGAAGGTTAGCAATATCTTTAGCAACCTGCTTGGAAACTGAGGCTATGCTATGGTTTGGTCTTGTTATCATTTTCTGTATTCATGTCTTTTTCCCTTTCTTTGTTCCCTTGACAGTTATTGTATATGCATTATCTTTTTCTTTCTTTCTTGCAGAGGGTTTTGAAAAACAAAAAGAAGAATATGAAAATATTGAGTCTCAGCTTGATAATTTGCGCAAAGACTTCTATAATAGTTTCCGGCCAGAGATCATGGTATGTTATTCAGTATGCATGTACAGTTATATTTGTGTATATATTAAGTTTCCATTGTATATCATTGTGTGAATATTAGATATTCAATATAAGGAAATAATGGAATAAGATTTTTTTTATGCATATTTAAATGTATTGTAAATTACAGAAGTTATAGTTCTTACATAATGTAGCTTTTTTGCATGTGGAGGCACTTACAGAGTCAGATGTATCACCAAAGAAAAAATGTATTTTGGAAAACTGAAAATATAAATGTTATATGCTGTCCCAGTTGCTTAAATCAACAGGCTTGGAAATGCTCCAGGCTGATCAAGGCTAAGTTCTGTATTTTACTTGATAACTCTAAGCCTAAGATCTGGTTACATACTGTTAACCCATTGCCGCCGGGGAAAATGAACAAAAAATGGGGGAAATGCAGTACTCATTTTTTATATTTTTGTGCAATATCTCTGTCCATAGATGGCTCTGCTAGTCCTGATTTCACCTTTCCTTGAATTGGCGGGAAAAAACGTATTTTTACTAGTGCTATAAATATAGATGGTGTTATTTTTAACAGCGAATTAGGATAACATTAAATATTTTCGTAAATCGATGAAAAGGGTGAACGGGCTAGACAGGCAGTACTCATAATTGGCTCATTGGATACTTAGTACAAGTGTAACCACCTATGTATAAAAACAATCAAACAAGTCGACTCACAGTGGGCATGGCATGTACATACATGCCATCCCTGGCGGCAATGGGTTAAATATTTAATGGCATTGGACTATTCTTATGTGGATGTTTGCAGCTTTAAAGATAACTAATTCTATCCAAGGTTTCTTACTGGTAACCACATTACAGAGAGATCTTAATCACAGGAGAGATTGGAAAAATGGTTCTTTGTATACCGTGTACTTGTTAAATTAAATAACAGTATGTCCCCTTTATGAGGGCAGTAATGATATTCCAAAGCTTTCCCATTTAGGTGGGTGACCAGTAACTCAGTAGAAGTATTCTCTATCAAAGATTTAGGAGAATTTGTCATATCTGTTTTTCTTCTTTTATTGGCATTTGATGATGATGATATCAGTTATTAAAGATAAGTGTTGTACAGAGGAAAATATACAGCATAGCATTTAATTATTCCAATATGATTTAGTTAGATATAGCTTACTGCTGTTATTCCACCCTTTGCTTTTGAAAATATTAGATTGAACTGTTTTTTAAAGACCTTTTTATGTCTGGGCTTGGTCACTGCCAAGTTCAACCTAATTCATATTTGCAACATCAGAAGATTTCATATTAAAGATATAAATCATAAGATCAAGGATATGTATGTGTACAATCATTATCTTACATGGGACTAGAATGTGGATATATAAAACAAGTGACAGTCTGATATATAATATATTATATATTCTTTATATATTTCAGGATTTCATTTGTGCAGTAGCAACATACAAATGGCCATGAGTGATAATTCCATCATGTGACACATATGCATAAAAAAAAAAAAATTATGCATAGCCTGTACCTCAGCACAGAATTATAGCTGGTGTATGGGATGATAGCATTGTTGGATCTTTCAGGCTCCTATATCCTGAATATATTAATTAATCTGTAGATTAATTCACATTGGAGTTCATGTCTTTTTATGGGCCTTTAGAAAACAAACTATGATTTATTACAACATCTTCATGCAGTTTTTTATATTAAATTAAACAAAATCTTTTTATATTCAACAGTGGCAGAAGGCTCTTGATATTGGCCCTTCTGGTGCAGTGGTCCACCAAGAACTGGTAAGCTGTTGAAATTGTAATGTGAATCCCTGTAGTTATATAACATTTATTGATTAATTTTGCTTTCTTTATTGGCGTTGTGAATTTCACCTCATATTCCCTTTCTCTATGTTGTATTTAAAATTTTTTAAGCTTGTTAAGGAATTATGTTCTTTATGTCTCAGAGTAATGTATTTTAACTGAAAATTCTCTTGTTGATATGCAGGAAATAGATATATTTAATGGTAACAGAAATTATACTGGTAATGATGAAAACATTTTAGAAATATTGGAAAAAACACTTTCTTATTTATTTGTAAGTTGAAAGATAATGATAATGAATCTGCAATATTAGAAAGCTAAAACTCAATTCCCTTTGGCACGTGAAGTTTGAGGTGATAGCTGAACCTTCCGTCCCCGTGCCCACTCATAATCTGCCTCCTGTGGGCCCATTGGTGCGTACTGAGCTGAAGCCAAATGAGCTCGTCTATTCAATGAGGCACTCGCTCTTCGCTCGCTGGGCTCAGGCACAAATCATTGAAGTGGTGAAACGTGAGCCAAAGGTTAGTTATTGCATCTTTTGGTTGTTTCTTATTGCATATATGTATAGATAGATATATATATTATGTATGTTTTTCTGTGTGTGTGTGGTATTGAATTATATTTTGATGGTACAGGTCATAATTGTATTTTTATAAGTATTTCATTGCAAAAAAAAATCTTTCTAAAAGTGAATGTGTGTTAGTATTAATCCTGCCTTATATTCATTCATTACAGAATACTAGCTACAAAATTCGTTACAATCGCAATGCCAAAAGTTCATGCCAGACTGCTATCATGACAGGACGTCAGTTGGCATACTATGCCTCTTGTCCAACTCGTATCCCCGTCGGCACACGTGTTATAGCAAAGTATAGAGATGACGATCCAAAGAATACCACTATCTCGGGTGCTTTCTATGTTGGAATTGTAGCAGAGATCCCAACAGCAGCAAATAAATACAGGTAAGTAAAGCTATTAGTGAATTATAGGATTGTAGTTGGGAAAAAAAATAACTGATACTTGCTAGTTTATTGGTTAGCTTGATGAACAGGCTTGATTGGGGTTTTTATATTTGTACAACTGTATGAAAGTATGTAAGGTATAGGTTTATTGTAGTAGGATTTTCTTATCCTTGGATGGACCAGTGTCACTTGGTTTGTATATATTTTAATTATTTTTTATGTTATTACTGTAGGCAATGTTATTATTTTGTCATTGTTTTTAAATTTGTTAGTTAATGTTTACTTTAGTGTCTATATGAATTTTTAAGAAATAAGCTACAACTTTTGGTAGGTAAAGTTATTTTTCTTTTTGTGAATACATTCTGTGATAAATCACTCACTGAAAGGTTATATTGGATTTTAGTCACTAAAGAATCATCTAATTCTGTTTATTCTTAGTTTTGGATTGCACAAAAGTATTACAATAAACCTAACCTGTCATAGCTTGTGGAGATGATGCAGATGGAGTCAGTCATCTCAGTTGAAGTCAGAGTCAGAGTCAGGTACTGGAGGTGTGGGTGGCACTTGGTTGGATTTCAATTGATACATAGTTACTTTTTGAGTGTTCATTCTTGGTTTCATATTCAGAGATACCCATCTGTAGGTTAGGTTAGGTTATCCACAACCAGTAATTCGCTTTGTTGCATATAGTGCAAATGTTTTGGGTGGTTTATAACAACGAACTGTTGAGCCACTGACAATGTGAGCTTAGTGTCTTGTAACTCCAGGCAATGGGAGAGTTGCCATATTGATAGTTTAATTTGAGATTTTATATTTTTTTTTGTGCTGGTGCCCTGTGTTTTTACAATCACAATGGGTAACAAAAAGAATAAATGAAAACTTAAGACTAAGTATATTGCTAAAAAAAAAAATCCTCGAGGGGCCATGCTCTATGTGAGTGTGAGTACTCTCACTCCCAACTTATTTCCCCCCCCCCCCCACCCATGGCATCCTCCTCCTCCTCCTCCTCCTCCTCCTCCTCCTCCTCCTCCTCCTCCTCATTGCCATAAAGAAGTTTTGTATGGCTCACAGTATGCCTATGATACATCATAAATCATTAAAAAAATACCAGAAACATAACAGGGAATAGTTAAAAAAAACAAAATATGAAGAGACATGGTCCTTCATATGATTTTATTGTTTAGATATTTATATTTTTGGAAAATACACTATTTGATATGTGGATCTTCTAAAAGGAATTGAGATTTGCCTTTAAACACAAATTTTCATTACTATTTTCTCATATTAATTAACCATATGTCTTTTTGATTTGCAATTGATACATTGTTACTTTCTTAGTGTTCATTCTCAGTTTCATATTCAGAGATAACTTATATGTGTATTAGGTTAGGTTAAGGATGCTGGCGACACTGGGTAAAAGAAGATGTATTTCTAATATACAGATAGTCCCTTACTTAAGAACATTCTAATTGTGAACATTCCATACATACAAACAAAATTTTTTAAGTACTAAATTGTTTGAAAGATGCTAGCTAACTTCAAATTTCTCGGACACGAATATAGTTCAAGAGTCTGGTACTGTATAAGGTATGTTGTACTTATTGGGATTTATTTACAGATTTCTTAATGTAAACAAAACTTTAAAACAATGGGAAAAAGGTAATGGAGACCCGACTTTCGACTTACAAACAGTCTCTCGGTCCCCATTATGTTCTTAAGTTGGGGACTTACTGCACTCTCAAAATCCCTCAAATTTCCATTACTATTTTCTCATATTAATTGACCCTTTTGTCTTTCTGATTTCAGGTATCTCATTTTCTTTGATGATGGTTATGCGCAGTATGTCCTTCATGGCGATATACGGGTAATGACTGAGGCCTCATCATGCCCCTGGGAGGATGTATCTTCGGACTCAAAAGAATTCATCAAGGACTACCTGCAGATGTATCCAGAAAGACCCATGGTGCGCCTCCAGAAAAGCAACTACGTCAAAACAGAATGCAATGGTATGTGGTAACTGGTGACTGGTGTTCTGTGTATTTCACTGAAAGTGTGTAATGATGTATTTGTAGGATTGCGAAAGAATGATATTGGGAAAGGAAAAAGAGAAATATGTATAGATTGATGAATAATAGGAGGAAAGGAAAAACCTCACATTGATTTTCATATAACCTAGAGAACAAAAATGTCTTGTGGACTTCTATTGTTTATTAATTTGTTCTTTATAAACTAGATTTAAATATGAATTATGCTAGACATTGCGCTATCAGTAAAAGAATGTAGTAAACTATTGGAGTCTCTCCAAATACAGGAAGATGGTGGAAAGCTCTGGTCAAAGAGGTGGATGGGTCTCTAGTGAAGATGTTTTTCCCAATGGATGGAAGATCCGAATGGATTTACAGGGGATCCACTCGTCTCAGCCCACTCTTCAACAAGAAGATGAACAGTCAAGCACAGACAAAACAGCCACAGAAGACTATACGACGTCGTACAGTGGCTGTACCTGGAACAGTAAGTCGGGAAACGGTTTAGGTCTGCATATATGATTCTTTTCATATACTAAGTGTAAGGGATGCTAATGAAGGAAAAGGTATGAATTTAGAATAGATATTTTCATAGCGCAAGATGACAATACATCTCTCGCTCTGTGAAGATATTCATTCTCATATATATATAACAGTCTATCACTGTTGCTGGAAATGAAATTGCATAGCTACCATTAAAACCACTCATGCATGTGCAAATGATATAAAAGTTATTAAAATAGTGTTCTAAAGCATCTTTTATCTTGAGAGAGGAGAGGTTGTGTAAGTTATTGGCCCCAAAATTTATTGTATAGAGATTGATATTATTCTGACTTTTTAATGCCATTTCATGCACTTTCAGGCAGTTGTGGAGTATGGAACATTTGGCCAGGGCTTAGATGCCGAGGCCACAGCTCCTGGTAAGGAGGCTCTTGTACTCATTGGTTATGATAACAACAAGACAGGTAAAGAAAGCAAAAATTGGAATGCACTATACTTATATTTTGGTTATTATTTATTTATTTATCATTGTTATTACTATTATTAACATTATCATTATATATATATTTTTTTTACTAAAGGAAGTAGTTGTGGTTTCAGGAGTTTGGTTTTGGAGTAAGTTTGGTTTGCTTTATAAGTTAGATTTTTAACACTGTCTCAGAAAGCAGTAAAGGAATGTTAATTACTTTCCTTTTAATTGAACATTGGCTGTACAGTGTATTTCTTTTTATTGCCTGTTGTATGATTTCTTGCTGTGAAATGGCTTCTTTGATGATGAGTAGTAAAGTAGTATTAGTAGTTAGTAAAGTTATGTTGACTTGTACCGATGTTGATCATTATATTGGAAAAGCCTCATGTTAACTCAGACTGCAATTTTTTGTCAGCTGATGATGTCAAATGATAATATTTAAGCTTTCATGCCTGATGTCAAATGATAATATTTAAGCTTTCATGCCTG